TGAACTTATATTACGTTAATGAAAACTTTTATTTATTATATTGGATTTGATGTTGCTTGTTATGGATATAGAGTTTGATGTTATTGTTGTCATGTTTGTTGGATAATGGAACAGGTTGAAAAAACAGATTTCGGGTAATCGAACATAATTTTTAAATTGGATAAATTATGTGTTATTTAGCGGCGTTTGTAACAAAAAACGATGTAATATACCATATATTTAGCGACGTTTGTATCCTAAAAACACCGCTATATACCAGACCTTTAGCGGTGTTTGTATAAAAAAATACCACGAAATCTCAACACGTATTGCGGCGTTTGTGAGAATAACGCCACTAAATCTCAACACTTATTGTGGCGTTTGTGAGAAAAACGCCGCTAAATCTCAACACTTATTGTGGCGTTTGTGAGAAAAACGCCGCTAAATCTCAACACTTATTGCGGCGTTTGTGATAAAAACATCGCTAAATCTCAACACCTATTGTGACATTTGTGGGGAAAACGCCGCTAAATATCAACACCTATTGCGGCATTTGTCTTACAAACGTCGCTATATATCATTACCTATTGCGGCATTTTTCGTTAACAAACGCCGAGAACTTTAGTGGCGCTCTTTTCAGCAACGCTTTTTGTGGTGTTTGTCATAGCGCCACAAGTGTTTTTGCGACGCTTAAAAGGCCGCTATAGGTAAAAAAAAACGCAAAAAACCAGTTTTGTTGTAGTGACTCGAATTTGAATCTAACCATATAAAGCACTTCTTCTATTTCAATTTGTACAATTTATGGTAAATTTTCTAATCCCACTTACATAATTTATTTTGAGCAGAATCTGTTGCACAAAATTTCTGACCTATCATTGGTTAAAAATTCATATTTTTTTGTATATACTTCTAAATTTGTAGTCGTATGTTTTAAAAAAAACTAGAATGGTTTTAAAAATCCAACGATATAAAAAAACATCTTCTAATCATTTTTGTAGAATATATGGTGATTTCATAAATCTATTGTTCAAATTATCAATTTAGGTAGATTTTACTAATTTGCATCCTTAGCTTTTTCACTAATTTTACTAGCTTATCAAATAAACACATATATATTAGTTCAAGTTCCAATCATCATTTTCATGCAATCTTAATCAATTTCATATAAAAACAATCAACATTCAATCTTTTCCATAAACCCTAACCTTAACCAAATTCATTTGTAAACATTTTCAATTGATTTTAAACATTATTCAAGCTTAGAAACAACTATATAATATCAACAATACAAAAATCTCTGCTTAAATCATTAAAATCCAACTTACCCATCATCCACTCTAACAATTAAACCAATAATTCAAGCATGGAAGCAGAAATGACCATCCAGCTCAGTTTGTAGAGCACAAGGTTCTTAACCTTGAGGTCGTGGGATCGAGTCCCACGGAGGGCATTTCATAATTCGGAGGTCTCTTACGGAAGCTGCTCTCAACCTGGTGTTGGGGGTAGCCTACTATCTTACCTCCCCTTTACCCCATATATATGGGAAAAAGGGACAGCCATTTGAATTCAAGCATGGAAGCAATGAAATATTATCACCAAATGATAGAGAATTTGACATGAATCATTTTTCTATTTCATAACTTAATCCAAAGGTCAAAGGAAAATGGACTAAAATCAAGAAAAAGAAAGAAAACATACATTGTCTTCATTTCATGGGGTTCAGGGCAATATATAGAGAAAAATGATAAGAAGAAAACTTTTTTCTAGATTTTTCATGAGAAATATCTCATGTACACATGACTTAAATTCTAACAAAAATGAATTTAAAATTCATTTTAGTCTAAAAGTCAAATCTACCCTTAATGAATCTTGACATTTACCTCCATGCCATTATTTCATTAAAATTTTCATAACATTAAATAAATATAAAAATTATATTTATTGATTTCCATATTTTACCTTTCAATTTTCCAAAATTTTAATTTAGTCACATAAATTCCACTATTCCATTTTAACATGGAAAATCCACTTAAATCTACTGATCCGTGTTAAATTGTATTGATTAAAAATATAAATATAATATTACTAACCTCATACTATCATCCATCAAATTTTTGTAAACTTTCAATTCAATCTGATTATCCAAATACTTTACCAAACTTTATCACTTAATAGCTTTTTACACAAACTTCATATCAGAATCTGAATTCCATATAAACTCCATTTTTAAAGACAAAATATTCATTTATGGAATAAATTTTCTTTATGGGAAAATTACCACTTTAGTCCTTGAATTTTTCCCAAGTTTCTAATTTGGCCACCAAACTTTCAAAATTTTATATTTTGGCCACTTATCAAAATTTTGGGTATTACAGAATCGGTACAATTCTTTCTCAACTAAAGCATTGGCTCGGTCTCACACAGATGTCAAGTCAAGCTATAAAGGTATTTGTTGTACAGGACTAATACAAATATACATGCATATCTAAGGGCCCAAAGGCCACACAACACTGACATCGCTAACCCACTCCTCGTGAGTGTTCAGGCCTTGGACCCTATTTAGCCCTTGAAGTGCCTCGCGCACTAACAATGCCCCACTAGGGAAACTAAGGTAACCTAACTACACACCAGTGTAGCTCGACACACTAAAAAGATGTCAACCTTTCACTAGCAGCTATCTCACTCATTCTCTCATCTAGAATATTATGCAAAGGTTTATTAATTTGTTAATTCTTCTAGTTTATTAAACGACTCTATTCTAGTAATTCATTACTTAAGGGCATTTAAGTTATTATTTGTCTCTAGAGAAGTCTCTACGTATTTCATGATTTGACAATGATTATTGTGTTCATTGTTCGGTGTTTGTAACACTTGGTAGCTCGATACATGACTCGGGTTCATTATTGGGTATCAATACTTTGTTCGCTCTTACCATGTTTTCCCTTAATTTGCCCTCAAATTAAAGAGACAGTTATACGTTCACCATTCGCTGACATCCTTGTAGTACGCAACTATGTTATTTTGTAATTTGATTATTTCAACATATCGCTTGCTGGTACATCCTCCGTAATGGTCTTTCATTCTTAGGTATTCACCACGTGTTCAACTGAAGGTACTTGGACGTGTTATGCCTACTATGATTACTGTGGTTGTAACTCACTCTTACGAGAGTTTTTAGGCCCCTTTGGCCATTTATGTCCCTCATGTATTAAGTTCTACCATTACAGACCATCCTTAGCTATTTTCAGGCCTTAAATAAGTCAAATATAACCATCCAAAGTGAGTAGTGTCGATACCCTACTTGCATTATCGATAGCCTTATGAGTATCATTACCAAAAATGGCTTCTATTACTAAAAATGTGGCCCAGTATCAATACTAAGAGTATCGATACTTTAGGGGCAGTATCGATAATCTCCCTAGCAATATCGATATTCCCAGCTCGAAATCCTTAATTTTCGTCCTAAATTATCCAGTATCGGTACTCGAACCCAAAAATGTCTTATTTAAGCTCGGGAAACTCCCAAAAACATCCTAAATGTCTTAGTTTGATTTCTAATCATGTGCTAAAGCTTTAGGAAATTACTTAGGGTCTTAAAGTGCCCTAAAAACTCATGTTTTACATCCAATTCGTCAACCATGGCATAAATCAAGTATGAAATCCTAAAATGCTCAAATACCAAATTTTTTACAAATAATCATGCTTATGAGAGCCTTAACAATCTAAAGGATTAGAAATACGCTACTTGATGTTTAAATCCCAAAATGAAGCTCCTTAGTCACACTCCTTTCTTTTGTGATTTGGATGAATACCCCCACTTTTTCTTTAGCTAAGAATAACCCAAGACTTGAATTGTTAAAACAATATTGTTGGAGGGTTTAAGAACGAAAATGAAGCTTAAAAGTAGGAAATGGCTCAAAAACTTACCCTTAGCTATGGTACTTGGGTTAATTACACTTTTAGTCATTCTCATCTTTCTGCAATTCAAATATCTTCTTTTTATGTCTAATTGGGCCTAATTCCAACCCAATTAAACCCAACGACTTAAATTATGAAATTCATGAGGTCCACATACCTCTCGAGTAAACCCGAAACCACTAGCCCAAAATTTAGGGTGTTACAATGACGTCAATTTAATTAATTAAAAATTAAGACATTATATATATTAATGTGAATCAACATAACATCAATTTAATTAATTAAAACTTAAAATGTTATATTTATGATTAATAATCATTATTATAAATATATTGTAATTTTTAAATAAAATAATTAAAAATAATATATGAAAATTAAATTCAATACTAATAAATTTATATATAAATCACTTACCACTCCATTTGTAAATTATAATAATTTATACTGCCAAAAAAGCAAATTATATTAATTTATTAAAATAGTATTTTTATAATTTTTTATTTTCATTACACAAACCACGATGATTTAAGAGATTATTATTACATTTTTAAAATTTTAAGCTCAAACATCACATACGTTATAATATTAAAAATCTTTTAATAAATATTATATTGTAATCACTTCATAATTATAAAAAAATATTTATTTTTATTTAATATATTTTAAATATAAAAAATAAAATATTTATTTTTCTTTAATTTATTTTAATTATAAAAATGAAATTTTTATTTATTTTATTTTATTTTAAATATAAAAATGAAATTTTAATTTAAATAATAATAATTCAAAATTTCAGACCCTAATATTCAATTTAATCCAATTGCCAACAAAAGATCCAGAATAGTACTAATAGTTTTCCACGTGTCTCCACCACAATTGTTTTTTAAAACAGTCACGTCACCATTGCAGAAAGTCAAGCTTTGAGATTTTGCTTTTGATAAATATCTCCAATTTTGAAAAACAAAATATCTTCATCCACAAGATTCCCACATGAAACAACTTTCTTCTTCCCGAACTTTCCCGATCCACATCAATCAAAACAGAACCCAGATATTTTCTTCCCCGTCTTTAATCTTTATATAATGCTCCCCTATTCCTTCTCAATCCCACCATGCTCGGGCTTTAACACCATTATCACAACAGAATAAGATTCATCGAACTTTCGGGGTTTCCTGTTTCCAGTATTGATTCTCGATTATTTGATCGTAGTTAAAATTTGGGTAGGTGATGATGGAGGGTGAACGTGGCTTACCATCGTACTATAATGTACTGGGAGTCGGGATCGATGCTTCTATTCAAGATATCAAGCGTGCTTATCGGAAGCTTGCAATGGTAAGCTCTCTATTGAACTTTTCACTGTTGGTTTGAACTTTGGAGAGCATGGACTTATGTTCTGTTTGATTTATGAATATGGGAAAGCAGCAATGGCATCCGGATAAGTGGACGAGCACACCTTCTCGATTGAGTGAAGCCAAGCGTAAATTCCAGCAGATTCAAGAAGCTTATTCAGGTACGTAAGTTGTCTTGTCTGAGTTTAACGAAATGTATGCCTTGTCTGTTATGTTTAAATTCCCGTTTGTTTGTTGTGTTGGTGTAGTTTTATCAGACCAGAGGAAGAGAACTCTGTACGATGCTGGGTTATATGATCCCGATGATGATGAAGATGAGGTGGGTAATCATTAATTCTTATTTGAATCAAAACCTTTTCCTTTCTCAATAATTTTCCAACGAAATCGAAAGGAGGTTTACATTTCTGTGCAGGGCTTGTCTGATTTTATGGCTGAAATGCTGTCTCTCATGGCCCAAACGAGGGAAGAGGTAAAACAATTCGTGTAAAATGGCAATAGGGCTTGTCTGATTGATTGATTTAATCCAAAATATTAACTGTGGTTTGTGGTTTTCAGGAGAAAGCTTGCAGCCTGGACGAGCTGCAGAAGATGCTGTGGGATATGGCACAAGAGTTTCAATCACCGCCGTGGTTTTGTGGACCGATGGAAGAGCATAGGAGGTCGAAGAGGACCAAATGGGATCCGAGGGGGAGATTCAATATGTATGAGACCCCCAGTTGTTGAACCCAGTGGATGAAGCTGAATCCTTTGGAGCTGCCCAAATCTCTTGAAAAACAAGCCTGTGGGGGCATGTTTTGTTTTGGGGGTTGGGCCTTCAGTTTCGGCGGCAGCCTGGTGCTTTTGTGATCCGGCTGGATGAGAGTGCTTAGGGATTTTAACACATCTCCTTGAGCAAACTATAGTTATGTGTCTAGAGTTTACTAGTTTGAAAGAATATAAGGGTCATGTCAAATCTCTTTTGTCAATAAACAACCCATTAATTTTCTTTTTGGGTCCATTCATCATCTATGTATTTCTTCAATATTTTCAGGTGGGCAAAGCTTAGAATATAAAATTATTGAAATGATGAGTACATGGTTAGCAAAGAAGGTTCCAAAAGCAACACTTGTGCAAGATTTTTGCATCGATTATGATTAGGGAAGTTGACCCGAAGATGGAACTAAGAACATGGGATGGTGGCTTTTTCTCATTAACAAATAATATCTTCTTCAATTTTTATTTATTTATTTGCTAAATTCTGCCGTTAGGGCATTAATTGAAGTACATAAGAAATCCAATAACTTTCCAATTCTGGAAAGTGGATAGAATACTTGAGAAATCTGGGAGAAATAGCTAGGAGGGTGTAAAGAATATTTGAGAAATTTCAAAAAAAAAAATAGTTGCTGATTGATGAAATTGTAAAATGGAACATGACATGTCAAATGAGGGTAGTGAAAACAAAAGAAAAGATTCTAAAGCATACGATCTGATGATATGAAATGTGTAAATAGTGGAGGATGAGATCAACTTCGATTTCATCACCAACTCATGGATCCTACTTATTCATCTTTTATCGGATATATTTGATATATGATAGTTTTAATATACGATTAGAAAAAAAATTATATTAAAAATATTAATATTTTTTTAATATTTTTGATAAACTGTTATTTAAAACATTATTTTTTATCGAAAATATTAATTACATTATCTATTTTTTGATAAAAAATAATATTTTAGGTATCATCCAATGTTAATATTTTCGTTAAAAAAATAATATTTTAGGTAGTACTTTATCGAAAATATTAAATATTTTAGGTATCGCTCAATATTAACATTTTCGATATAAAAAATAATATTTTAGGTAACATTTTACTGAAAATATTAAAAATATTAACATTTTCGATAGTATCTTTTCTTAATTGTATATTAAGATTGTTGTAGACATCACCTCTTTTCTTTTCTTTAGTTGATTGAGCCCAAAATTGTTCACATTTTAAGTTTTTTTAGGATAAATTACACATTTAGTATTTAAATTATTATTTTTATTTTATTTTGGTATTTAAATTTTATTTAGTTTTAAAACTATACTAATTTCTAGTTTAGGTATCCACTGTTGAAAATTTAACGATAATATTGATCTGTCACCATAAAATTATGTCATGTCATCATTGAAAAAATTTAAAAAATATTACGTTAATAGTTCTATTAACTTTATAATAACAGGGTATCACAAATTAAAATCTAAACTAAATGTTAAGTATGCTTTTAAAAAAAATTAAATTTTAAATATCAAAACAAAATAAAAAATAATAACTTAAATAATAAACGCATAATTTATCTTCTTTTTATTTTCATTTCCTTATAAAAATCTATCAACAATAACTATAATAATAAAACAAAATTGCATTAACATACTATACAACTATATACTAATTAACAAGAACAAGAGAGAAACTAAAGAGAGATAAATATTGTTATAAGAAGATATTTATTAATTGATTGAGTGATAAAATATATTTATATTGTCTTGTTTTATATGAAAGTAAATTATAATATTTATTTTAAAGATATAATATCTCTTTACTTGAAAAATATTATAAGAAAGAATATTGACTTTTCAATTATTTGTGTCTAGTAAACTTATATACAATCAAAGTTTCCATTAAAAAGGTGCTGTATTAAATAAATTTAATAAATTATTTATAACTTTATTTTATTTTATAAATATACTTAAATATAATAAATTTATAAAGTTTGAAATATTATAATAAAAATAATACTTGAAAATTAAATATTTAACTTTCCATTAAAAAGGTGGTGTATTAAATAAAATTGGATAGGCAAATTTGTCATTTTCGAAGATAAATAAATAAATAAATTTGTAGGGTTAATTAAATCATTGTATTATATATATGATATGTTAATATATTTATATCATATTGTATTGTTTAATTATGAATAAACCATATCAATAATCATCAAATTCTTGCTTTTCTTTATTCTAATTGTAGACACTCATTTTTATCCGAGTTTAAAAAAATATTATTTATTATTATTATTTTTATTATTTATTATTATTATTAATATTTTTTTAATTATTTTGTAGGGCCATGGTCAACCCCACCATTTCACAAAACTCCTAAAAATAAAAAACCATCCAACCACCCATTATTATCTCACCACTACCCACTATTATCTCAAACATGTCGTCCTCATTTCCACACTTCCAAGGCAACTACTTTCCCACGTCTCTCTGCCTGCACAAGTCTATAAATTCTTTCCATTAACAGAGCTAGAGAGGGGGACCACGGGTGAAAAAGAGCAGAGCAGCGGAGCAGAAACCATGGTTCTCAAGACCGAGCTTTGTCGGTTTAGTGGTGCCAAGATATACCCTGGGAAAGGCATCAAATTTGTTCGTTATGATTCTCAGGTCTTCCTCTTTTCAAATTCAAAATGCAAGAGGTACTTCCATAACCGCCTGAAGCCATCGAAACTTACATGGACTGCCATGTATAGGAAGCAACATAAGAAGGATATTGCTCAAGAGGCTGTTAAGAAGAGGAGACGCACCACAAAGAAGCCTTACTCCTGATCCATTGTCGGTGCCACCTTAAAGCAGCGCACTACAACACTAAAATACATTGAAGATGGTCTCAGATGCCAGCAAGAAGAAGACAGCTCGAAAGAAAGCTGCTGCTGTGAAGAGAGGAAAGAAGGCAGCGCTCATAAAACGGCGGAGAGGATTTGGTCGTTTGGCCACCAAGGTGGTAATAAAGATCGAGCGCCCTTTGGGCATTACAAGTCACTTTCTTGGCAGGTGACTAAGCACTGGTCTACGGCCAAACAGATTCACGCCATGACTATGAACATAGTTCCTCCACGTGGACCGGAGGCTCTCGGTTTGCCCTCCTTGGTTTTCATAACGAACTTGATTATGATTTTTGTCATGTGGGTATTGATTGCTGCCATACCTTGTCAAGAGAGGAATGGTTTGACAACTCATCTTCCCATTCCTAAGAACGTGAATTGGACCCATACTCTGTCCAGTTTACTTGAAAAATTGGTGATGAGTGGAAGAAGAAGGAGACAGAAACTGAAATGGAAGAAGCCATTGGACACTGTTCCATTGTAAGTATATATTTAGTTGGCTTGTCAATGTTCGTTGATCTGTAATTTGGCACTGCAACCATGTAATTCTTTTTTAACACTTATTTTATTATTATTTTTTATTATTTTTTACCTTTCTGAAATTTGACATTTTATTCTTTTGTTTTGTTTTTATTTTAACATCTTTATATATAACATTTTTTACTTCTTTGATTTATTTATTTATTTATTTATTTTCCTTTTATTTAGTTAATTTTTATTCAATGTTTATTAATTTTGCCATCTAACACATTTTTTACTTTTCTCAGTAGTCAATTTTAATCAATCAAAGGTAAGTAATTCGAATCGGATTTTTAGATTTTAATTTAAATTCTTAATTTTCGCAATTAAAGACAACCGATAAATTAATTGGTACCGAAAGGGCGTGCTAATCCTTTATTGACCGTAACCGACTCCCGAACTCGACACATTTATGGTATAATGCAGATCATGTAAGATGGTGTCCGATCCACCTAAATGTTTTTAAAATGATCGGTGGCGATTCCAATTCGTTTAATCTAAGTCGAAGCCCGATTTCGGGACCCAACGGTTCCGACACTAATAATCAAATTACTTTTTGGTAAAAAATATTATTAATATTATTTTTAATAATATTAATAATACTTTTGACTAAAATATAAATTAATGATTAAAAAAAAGTAATTTAGTTATTACAGATATAGTTTACCCTTTAATTATTTGTGATTGTATATATCTCAAATCATCACATTTTCAGTGTTGTTTTGGTGTGTTACCATACATATTTTATGCCATTTTGGTTCATATCATGTTTATATCTTATTGTTTATATGTAAATAATGTGTTTCACATAAATTTTGACATATTTATTTATGCTCTATTATTTATTTATTGGAAAAGTTATGTTCTATTATTTATAAATATGGATGTTTTATAACTTGTATATATTTGTTTAATTATTCGATTTTGCTATAAATTTCACTTTTCAAAGAATACACTAACCATATATTAATATAAATATTATATTCGCAAATTCAATTTGATTTCACAAAGCGCAATGAACATATTCTAGTATTTATATGAAATTATGACAAAAGTAGCTAAAATAAGGGTTAGGAATATTTAGGTGAAATTTCTTTGATTGAAAGGATGAATAGGGATGCATCATACATATGATATGGGTAGTGTTGTAAACGAGACGAATTCGAGCATTGTTGAATTTGATTCGAATTGAAAATTTTAAAGTTGAGCCTGACTTGATTTGAAAGTTTAAAATTATATACATTGACTTGAACTCGAAATCAAAAAAAATGAAGTTAGACTCGAGTTCGAAAAAACTTGAACTCGAAACAATCTCAGATTTAGCTCAATTGAAGCTCGAACTCAAACTCAAACATGAACCTTAAATACATGAAAACATTATATATTGTAAATTTTCTTAAAAATAACATATAAATGTTAATATTATTAATAATTTAATTAAAAAAATTAAAAATAATATGTTAATTTTTCGAGTTGGTATTAATTGACTTGCTTCAAAACTCAAGTCGAATTGAATTAAGTCTAATGTTAATCGAATTTTAACTAAATGGGATTTGAGAAATTCACGATCTACCTCGAAGCATATGTGAGAAGTTGATTAATGCTCTCCAAGCCTAGTTTTTGGGAATATTAACTCCTGAAAACAGAGCATAGTTTTCACACATGATCAGCCGACCCTCTGCTCTATTAATTTGATCATGCCATCAAAAGCAGAACTTTATTGAGCTCCTCAAAAAGTACAGTTTGCTTCTGAATATTCGGAAAAGGATGACTTAACATATGTTAATTTCACCGAATTCCGATACTCGAATGAATAAATACATTAGAATATTGAGAGGCACAAAATATGGTTCTACTTTTATTTTTGTGTGTTTAAAATCAAAAACCCCTGTTTTAGATTTCTTTTATGATGAATTATTCTCTGTGGAACCAGAAAATTCCGTCTCTCCATATTCAGTTTTCAACAACCCTTTATTGGAAACAACTCACTGCTCATAATGAAGTCTTGATTGCCAAGTTTCAAAGTGCCATGGGGTCAAAAAATGTGACCTTTAACACAAAGGACTGTAAGTAGGCCAGGGCTTACTTTTCCTTCTTTTATTTGGCTCTTTATATCAATCCAACTTTGAGACTTGACCTAAACAGCTTCAAAATAAACCCTTCAAACAAGGGGAGTTTAATTGCATTCATCCCACTTATATCAATCCTCTCTCCCTGGTTTTCGTTTCTTTAACATGGCCAACACAGTGCTTAACAAAGCTTTCTTATTCTTCCTCTTCTTCTTTAGCTTCTTTATTCGAAGCAAGCAAGATAACCCATGTCCTTATCCATGTTACCCATCACCAACAGGTACCGGAGGAGGCGGAGGAGGTGGTGGAACAGTCACTCAAACGCCTCCAGCTAGTTATTCACCACCTTCACAAACGGGAGTATACCCTCCTCCTGTTGGGAACCTACCACCATACTACACACAACCACCGCCTTATGGTGGTAATTCTTTATACGGTCCGCCTCCTCCTGATCCTATATGGCCTTATTTCCCGTACTACTATAGAAAACCTCCGCACCGGGCGGATGATCAGTCAGCGGGAACAACAGTTAGGCCTGGGAAATCAATCTTCATCATCACAGCTACCACAGGTCTTCTTGTATTTATTATTCTAGTTATTTCTAGTTTAGGGAATTACTAGCTAGTTAAAGTAAAAAAGAAAAAAGAAGAGCTTTTTTTTTTTGTGTGGTGTAAAAGTATTTAAATGATTAAACCATGTTTAATACATTCAGGGGAGTTTGGTATGTGTGTTTTAGTTGCAGAAAGAAGTATAGAAATGATGAAGAAGTGAGAGCCATAGAGGAGGTGGTCCATGTACTTACTGTTTCTTAACTCTTTTGTTTGGCAATGGATAAGATGAAGGTTAATATTGATTCCTCTTTTAGTTTCCATATTTTTATTTTAACTTGTCTCGTTACAATTTTGCTGACCTGCTTGGTTGCATCACCTATTTGTATGGATTTCACAATGGATGATAATGGAAAATCTCCTGCTTCAAAGTATTCTTGATTTAACATTGTTCATATTGACCTGATTTTGCTCCTTGTTGTCACTAAATTTCTCTTTCATGTGGGAGATTTGCAGACGAAAATGGTGTTTGATAAATCGATTATCTCACAGCTCAAAACCTCCGTAATTTAACCATCTATGATTGATTTTGCATATATAAAAAATGATTGATTTTGTAGTTCTTAATAAAGCAAAAAGAGCAATTTGCAAGTAAAGGAAGCATTTCCCTTGCAAAAATTCTGGAATCACTGCGACGATAAATGATAAAAGATAGATTCTACACTACTCAAGTTTAATCAAGTTAAAATTTGATCATGTTCAATTCAAATTAATTTAAGTAAAATTCAAACTTATCTTGAGTTCTTAACTAGTCGAGATGAACTACTTTATACCCAACTTAAAAAGCTTACGATCAACTCAAAAAAAAAATAATTCATTTAAATTTTAATTTTATTAAATTAAATTATTAATAATATTAATGTGTATATGTTATTTTTTAAATGCAATGAGTTCTGGTTCAAGTTTTAACCGAATTAAGTCTGAAAATATTTTAAATTCAAGTTTTTTAGAGTTCGAATCAAACTTCAAAATTTTTAATTTCAATTTCAGTTAAACTTGACAATTTTTAGCTCGTAAACTTTCGAGTTAAACTTAACTTTGAACATTTCGAATGAGTCGAGCTTAGCATTACTAGACCTCGGCTAATCTCATTTACAGCCCTATAGGAACCACCATGCAAAATGGAGATTTCTAGGTTTTCTATTTATCTGCTTTCATCTTGCTTTTTTACCCAAAGTTGTAGCTTCAAATGCAATTCGTTGCCATTTGAAAGAGTTTCTAACCTGATAAAACAGGAAGCCACTTGCCTCAAGTCTCCTCTTTCTACCGAGAATATGTTGGCAGGGGTCGTAGGTAAGGGATACAAACAACAGAGCCACCATTATCAGCTGACTACAATTCTCGCTAAAGATTGCATTACACGCCCCATAATTTAAGTTGTTTTAAGTAATACTGTAACATTACTATCAACAATCCATAATCGGCCTTGCCATTTCTCTTTTTCCATCGCAAGGAATCTGGTTTTCAATGTAAACCTGGCACCATTGACATTCCTGGTACAGTATAAATTCAACTTACATACTGGCATTGAAGACAACACGTGATTAGATAGTTTGAAGATACATGTGTTGGCTGCTCAGGCTATATGGGGAAGAAAATTGGGTGAAGATGAGACACCAAGGCTGATCATTTCAGGAAGCCACAACTGCCAAAAGACCCATACCAGAACCACTGGCATTGCCAATTCCAGCACTTCTCATGTTATTCTTCCTCTTAACCTCTCCCACTATTTCTCTTGGCTCCAACTTTTGGCATGCCACCGTTCTTATGATCTTTTACAACCTTACCATTCTCCGGTATTCTATGTTTTGGCAAATTACTTCCCTCTTTCCCTCTCTCTTGCTTTGAAAGGATAATGTTTTGTGTGACAAATGCTGGAGAGCCATAACCACCTGTTGGTGGAGTTGAGGTTATGATGCCAGGTTGAGATGATGACTCAACTGTATGAAAGTTTCTCACCTTCATATCTACCAGCAGAAAGGACCTCTTTATTTGCTTCCCTGAGAGTGATGGTGATCTTCTGGTTGATCCCACCCCTGGATTTGCAGATTTCGGTCCTGCTTTAGCTGGTCTCTTGGTAGATGATGCGGCCTGAGAAAGAAACAGAAGAAAGCAGTGTTAAATCTATTGAAAAGTGGTACAAAAACATGAAATAAGCTATTTGGATGATCATTGAACAATGAATTACATGAAAAAAGTAAGAAATATAAACAGGTCCTTAATAAGGTATACAAGTTTAACTTCCTACCAGAGTTGAGGCAAATTATGCAGCTCACCTAAATTCACGTATAAAAAGCAGTGTTAAATCTATTGAAAAGTGGTACAAAAACATGAAATAAGCTATTTGGATGATCATTGAACAATGAATCACATGAAAAAAGTAAGAAATATAAACAGGTCCATAATAAGGTATACAAGTTTAACTTCCTACCAGAGTTGAGGCAAATAATGCAACTCACCTAAAATCACGTATAACACATTTTCCGTCATCAACCACTAAGAATTATACATATTCCACAGTTACAAGCAAACTCAGACATCAACCTTGTGCTTCTCAAGTCAGTAACTATCTTGTTTTCCTTTCTTTGACTGCTTCATTTGGATGGTCTAACTCATTTCAAAATTCAAATTCTCTCATATCTTACTTTCTTCAGACCAGGGAATTCTACTAAAACCAACATGAAAATATCCAGTAGAAATATGAACGAAAAAGTTCAAAGAACCAACAAAGATCCAAGACCCTATAAATAACAATTGTGCAAAGAACAAAATATAAATACTATCTTTTACTACTATTGCTTCAGATGGTTAAATAAATTGTTCCACATGCAATTCCAAAATATTATGCCTTTTGAGAAAATTAAATAAGAAATGAATAAGAGTTGGCGAGTCCTTAAAGCTATTATGCTAGACTAAGATTACATGTGAGCCAATGTAAGAACCTCCAAATTAGACATGCACTCATGAGGGCATGCTTCCTTGAACTAATCACACAGAAGACATGAGCTACATTACAAAATCAAAGCAATAGCATAGCTTCTAATGTACCTTGTTTCCATTAGACTGTGGTGCTGTGACAACATGATAGAAAGAAGGCATGGGTTTTGCTTTGAAAATAAGGTTTTTCCGCAACTGCTTAATTTCAGCCTCCGTCTTCTCCTGTAATGAGACCAAAGCATTCAATTTATTTATGAAGTTAGCAACCCAGAGTCGATAACCATAGATATAATGATGGAAAAACAAAGAATTCAATCCAGAAATGTCCACAGTCGTTCATTTCAAGTAGTAAACAATGAATATTGTACCCTTCCCTTACCCGTGTTTTTGCTTGAATCTGATTCATCTCAGCCTCCTTTGCATGTATTTTCTCTTCTAATTTCATGAAAAACTGATAACATTTTATGGCAAAAAGAATAAAGACATTAAAGTTTATCCATAAACTAAAGAAATAAAAAAAATTGAGAATGACAGCATGCTTGCTTGCCTCTTTTCTCCTTTCAGCTCGTTCACCACTTTTGAAATGGAATGACCCAACAGTTGACTTTACATCTGCCTTAGTTGAATTGACAGCCTGCTTAAGCCTATAAAAAGAATAAGCTATGTTAAGGATGAAACACAAATTTCTGGTGGCATAAAGCAGTGCCCACAATGTTTCTACATACCTATTTGGTGTCTGGCAACCAACAGGTTCAATCTTCTTTGATGAAGAAGGTCGAGCTTCAATTACTTTCTTTGTCACTCCTTTTATACTGTCAGAAGAATGAAATAATCATTTGAACTGTCCCTAAAATACAAACATAGTATACAAATGCATGAAATAGGAATTACCTTTTATGCTCGGAACTTAAGTTTGCATTGTCTCTCTCAGAATCCTGAACAACAAGGAAAAGGGAATTCAAATAACAATATGAAATCTTTATAAAATGGTTAATACAGAATAAAAACTAGGTAATACAGATGTCTTTCATTTAGCTTTCAGGTCAAAGCCCAAACTTTCACCTCTTTTTTTGGAGATCAGAGCATTGGACGCCTAGTTGAAGTGGCAGTTTGTGATGGTAATTTTTCCGCTTTCGTTCTCCTCTTGATCTCTTTTTCCTTTCTATCTAGAACTCTTGGAACTACTTTTGAAGGATCAGAAGAAATGTTTTTCTGGTAATGATCAGGACTCATTTGTGACTTCAAACTCGATTTAGTAGCTTTTACAATAGTAGGCTTCAACTAGAATTAAAAAAAATCAAAAAGTATGAGTTACAAGTAGGTAAACGCAAGAACAAAAGAAATTCAAGCACCACATTAGAAAAAAAAAATGTGAAATCAAGTTTCTGGCTACTGCAATGGATGCCACTTTTCAGAAACCAACAAGAAGTAATATGAATATAAACTCATACCTTTGGGGAATGACTTTGCTGATTATCTAACTTAGAAGTATCAACTTCTCCAGTGTTTCCAGCAATGGGAGGTGGATCCCTGGATTTAAGTGATTCATCACTGCTAACTGCTTCATCATCATGGTTTTCCTTTACCTTTTTTTCTGGTTTATCAATGCTACTAAGTGGTTTATCATGTCCAATTTCACTTTGTGGATTCTCCTCATGTTTAACATCTCCAGGAACCAAAGCATGAGTTTCATGAGTGGATAAATCTTCAGGATATTCTCTTCCACATTCAATCAATGCACCCTCCCCAAGATATTCAGAACCTTCAGGATTATTGTCAAAGTGAGCACAAAGGCTACCTTCATTTGCATAATTAGTCTGGATCCCTTCATTTTCATTATCAAATAGGATTCCTTGATTTCCACAACAAAAATCTTCCCCGCAATTTACATAATCCAAACCATTCTCATCAGAATGATTATAATAGCTATCTCTACTTAAATTATCAGATTCTTCTCCATTAGTCTTGGTCTCTGCAGCATGATTCTCAACTGTTTGATATTCACCGTAACCCTCATTATCCACAGCATCATTCCCACCGGTTTGAGCTTCACCTCCATTTTGTCCTTCAGATGAACCTTGGAGAAGACGTGCCTTC